TGGATTGCTCTGTATTTAGTATATCTGCTGTAAATCTCGTATACAGGACAGATGAAAAAACTGACCATTGTATGGCACTACAGCTTCCGCTGCTCTCTATATGAACCAGACGGGACCCACCTAGACATGGAACTGCCTTCCGCCTAGATATGACCTCAGCAGTTTGATCATGGCTATTGAACAATCAAAATTCTTCATTTTGTTTAACAGTTAGCATGCTAGACTCTTAAATGCCATACTGACGTCAAGAAATATGACACCAGTTGATTTATTGGTGCTGAATCTCTGCGTAATACCTTACATTAGTCTTAGTACTTGAATCTCTGTTAAATGGGTATATCTAAAGTCAAATTGCTCATCATTTATTACATTTAGATCCAGTGTTTATGTCTTTATCCTTTGCAGAATTACTTGTTCTGTTATTTGACTCATATATGGAAGTAGAATAATTGTTCTATAGCTCTGTGGGAATTTTTGGTGATTGTTACATTATTAAATCCAAATTTTTCCAATTTTTTTGGAAACTATTGTAACGTTTACGTATATTTGATAAAAATGCAATGGCTTTTACTGGAAGTTTTTTAGGACACGGTTTGTAATTCCGTAATTTTTGGTGAAGCGAAAGCGAGGTTTCCTATTATTTCTTCTGTTTCCATATTTTCTTCCTCATATTTAGTGAAGTTGATGGTCTTCATCTTCGTGTTGATATTCTAAATATTGATGAATATCTTTGTTTTTCATCTATGATGTCTGCTATACCGTTGACTAAAGATGGAAATTTGTTTTTATCTGGCCTTAGGATCTTCTGCAATTTCTATAAACCCATTTATGTTTTTGCGAGTTTAGTTTCTCTAAATATTTTTTCCACTGTTCATATTTGTTTTCTTTTGTAATTCTTCCTCGACTTGTGATTTAAGCCAATTTGCTTCTTATTTGCTCTTCACCTTGTTCTTCTTTTGAACACTATCAGCAGTTGACTGAAAGCATCTAGACATCAATACCTTCATTTACTACATCACAGGTCTCTATCTTTGGGATTGTGACTTGTTGACTATACTAAGCTGAATAGCATTAGTAATTTTTTTCTTCTCTACTTTGGGCGCCGTTAATACCGTTCATTACCTAAACAACTAACAAGTTATTGCTATGTATTTATTTAGTAAGGAAAATATAAAGCCCACCGTCGTGAGTTCAACGTTTCAAAAACAAGCTCGAATAAACAGAAACCTTAATTAATTAAATACATAAAAAAAAACTGTGAAACATAATTATTTCTCACGTAATAATTAATCTCGCTTGTCAATTTATCATCCTCGCGGAAACCTTTTGCGTGAAATGAGTTTTAATAACTTTTCCTGCTCCTTTGCTTCATTTTACTTCATTTTTAGGTATTACTCTATGATTTATTATGGCGCGGCTTATACGAGAAAATAGGGTTTTCGAATCAACTACATGTCTTAAAACAGCCCGCCGACTGGGCAGAATAAAAATCCATTTTTCTTTTTGATGGGTAAGACGGCGCGGTAAGCTGTGGGAAATTTTGAATAAATGTTTGGTTAACCAAATAAAATTGCGACTGTAAAGTAACATAATGTTTTAAAATTGTTATTATTTGCTGCAAGAATAACACAAAAATGTTGTTTTTACAGAATGCTAATTTTCGAGAATACCGTCATAATTCAAAAATTATTTCATTAACAAAATTGAAACGGTATGTTCTTTATACAGAAACAACGATACTTCCGTAGTTATGGTGGTATTTGCTTGACGGCGGCGCTACTACAATTGACATTTTCCAAGTTTAAGTATGTTAAATCAATGAATTAAAGTATTTTTGCGTTGTGTCGGTATTCTTGCAAATGAGCGAGTAGAGTAATAAAATAGTAATTTAGTCTAATCGAGTAAAAATATAGTCAAACTCCGAAATTATACATGAACCGTTATATATAAAATTGCAATTCGTTCAACCACTAAAGACTTTACAAATCTGTCAAAACACTAACGAACTAACTTTTAAAATATCTTGGGGATGGTATATATAAACATTATTTACTCGTATGTAGTTGGGTAACAAAACTACCTGAACATTTCGAAATAATTTAAAGTGAAAGAAATTATTATAACAGCACGTTTCGATAAGTACAAACAATCTGCGCGTTCACGTCACTCGGAAATGATAGATGAGGTGTACTTTACTTGGGTGAAATGCGTTTTCACGACGTATTAAAAGATTATATTTGTCGAGGTTTTCTGCCTGACACAAATTATTAATAGAGTAGTATACTTCATCAACGTAATTCTATTGATACGATGATAAATCGAGATCATTCTTGAAGCGCAGATACAAGATGTTGCAGTTTACGATTAGATAAAAGTAATACTAATACATTTGGTCATAATTAAGTCCTTATTTACACGCATGCAAGTATTCTGCTTGAGTTTTTTGTTAGGAAGGCAGAGCTGTAGCCTCGAGAGCTGCATTAGAAATGGCGGGACGATTACTAAATTGAGTGGGAATCGTCAGTGCGAGCACGTTTTTCTGTAATGACAGATAAATGGCGTACCTTCAGCTACAATAGCAGTTGTAACCAGAAAAATACATTAAACTGACAATAAGATTAATAACGAAAATATACTATAGCTTAATGTAATTTTGAATGTCTTTTGTACGTTTTAGAGCAGTGGTTCTCAAACTTATTTCGCCCACCGCCCACTTTGAGAATAAACATGTGTGTAGCGCCCCCAAAATTATATTATATCTGAGTAAGTATCTGAAATACACCTGTAATTGAACTGAAACAAAAAAACAATAGAACTGACTTCAAAAAATTGGCATGTCTTCAGATAATTTCACAATGAGTCTTCTATGATTTCATCGGTCTGTGCACGGAACTATTGACATCCCTAGTCCACTAGCCTGCACCGATGAAAGATGCCGAATGGGACAAAATCTTCACATGGGTTAAATACATACAGTTTGGACGGTGTGGGGTAAAACCCCAGCAGAAAAAGGACAAACGTGGGCTTTCTCAATGGACCTTGGATCAAATGAATTAATTACACCTGAAATAACTTGATTCGAACCGGAGAGAACGCACCTTCCTCTTTGTCACACCTAGAGATAGGCAAATATCGATAGCTATAACTATCGATGGTGGCGATAGTTTTCTGAGGAACTGTCGATACTATCGATAATATAAATAACCTATAAATATAACAAAAAAGAAGAAGGGTATAAAAAAATATAAAAAATAAATAAAAACAAATAAAATTGCACTTTTCAATTCAATGCATTTAAACTTTAATATTTAGAGGTACCAAAATAAACAAAAAAGTCTTAATAAACATGGGTCCCCAAAGTAACAGTTTCAGAGATATGGTAGGTTATTCTTTTAAATTTACATAAGATATTCAAAGTGCACTCCTTCCATTTTTATGCACGCATGACATCTTTTTCTAAAGGATATTCAAACTATTATTAGCTGAATTTGTTGGCATTATGTAATGCCTATGCCTGTATAAGCGAGAATAATTGAGGTATGTAGTTTCCCTATTTTATTACTAAGCTTCTGTCAATCTTATTTGCACCAAAATTTAGGATATTTCAGTAAAAATGTAAATAATGGAATTAGGACAATATTAATCTGGACAGGCGTTGTGTTAATTCTCCCTTTTTCATTTTTTTTGTAATTAAAAATTAAACTCTTTATTTTTATATTAGTTTAAAGAAAGAGACCGAATGTACCCTACTCTCCCCTATATAACTTTTTATTTACTTTAAGATTGCTAACATCCAATTTTTTTCTGTGCCACCAGTGTTTTGTTAATTCTAATAAAAAAATTCATTAGAATTACATCCGATATTAATCTCAATACGAATTATGAAGGAAAGTGGTAGTGTAACCGGAAATTGTGAAAAACTGTGAAAACAGAACTCTCTTTGATAAACCAATTATTGCGTTAAATTAGATCTCTTTGCGCTCTCTTTCACGGAGCGGAATACAAACTTTAGGTTGTGCTTTTATCATATCCCAAGGGCTAGAGCACTCGAAAAAAGAGTCAACATTTTTTAGAAATTTGATTATTATATATTGAAACTTCAGAGCCTAATCGATAAAGAATATAAATTAGATTCTTTGTAAATTCAAAGAGGAAGACGAAATCATTTAAGGAAAAGAAGAAGGCTCTTTTACCAAATCAGCAAGGAGATGCGTGTCATTATATTTGAAAAAGGTATATTTTAGTAATGATCCTGTCTGTTCTTCCGATTGTCGGAAAAACAATCAAAAGTAATACGAACAATTAGATGTTTCTGATCGAGAACCAATTATTAGGTAGAACGGCAAGTAGTGATGAGTCTGAATCAGAGTCCAATTGTGAAGAAAATTATATTGATTAAAAAAAAAACACATGAGTTATCCTTATCCAATAAATATTTTATGTGCCTCTTGTTATAATATATTTTTTTCACAAAGTATTTCACCAATTTGCACCTGTTTAAAATCACTAAAAATGCTGAAAACCAATGTTCAGCTGGAAAATTTATTTATAAAATACGAAAGTAATTTTTTTTAGTATTTGTATACAAAATGTAAAACGTAATCTTAATTTTTTTAAAGTGACTTGTATTCGTGCAAACGTACCTTATTAAGTTTACGCTGCAACAACAAAGCGCAACTGAAATTAAAAGACACTAAAAGTGCGATAGTATTTTGTCAGAGAACTTGGGGGGTATTTCTATTACTTTGGTTTAACAACACAGTATAGCCAGTTTTACTCTATAATAAAAAGAAAATTATTTCATGCAATTTCAAGTTGAATACCTAATTTGACGATCAATTTTCCAATGTCCGTTTAAAAAACATCCTTAGAAATAGACTCAACGATTCGTCCATTATTAGACGCACGACTAATAATGTATTCTTCCTTGTTCCAGGTCAGCAATAAATCACACAAAAAAAAGGATAATGATTTCGATGACAGCATGTTAATCAATCACGATGTCTCTTCTCTATTCGAGCGAATCGTCAGGAGTTCAATCTCTCTGCTTAAACATCTCTACGACGGAATGCCTTCCTTGTCACATTAACAATTCCACGACTGGCGTTTCCTTTTTCGGCGGAGACGAGCCCGATTTGAACGAGGATCCCAGGATAGAGTCGCTGCGGAGGTACTCGTACGCGTTCGCTTTGCCGTCCATTTGCTTTCTGGGCATCATCGGGAATATTTTCAATTTGATCGTCTTGACGAGGCGGAATATGAGAGGACCTGCTTATATCTACATGAGAGGTACTAATTGAATTAACTCCTTTGCAACAATTTCACTTTAAAACGTGGATGTATTATAATACTAACAGAGATGCTATGAGGCAATCATTTTCCATAGCATATAGTCGAATAGAGGTAATTTGTAGGCGTGGCAACAACAAGTCGAGATAGTATACGGTAGCTGCATAGCTGCCTCCTTTACCCTCTGTGGTCTCACGAGATTATTTACCGAATGTTCATAACACCACTGGGCACCCAACCAGCAATATCACTCTATAAACTAAAGGTATTAGAGTAAATATGTTCTATAGGTTACGACTTATCATTTTTAAATCGATGGAAAATATGTAATATTCCTCAGTGTTCAGTGTGACCACCGTTATTTTAAAAGAATAGTAATTCTGGCCAGACAAGAAAGAGAAACAGAGGGGGCAAATCCCCGGGGTCCGGGCTCAAGGGGGCCCTTGACAGTGTTTTGCCCCGGAGACCATCATGACTTTCGGCGGCCCTGACTGATATTAATTAAAAATAATAATAATCAATGTTCAATAGTAAGACGACCGAAGTTAGACCTCAAGCTTTAATTTGGCTGAAGATTAGATTTTTAAATGTATACGTAAATCATTTGATTTAACTTTAAATATGCACATTTCCTTTTAAAAACAGCGATACCTCAAAACCGGACTACATACTACATCTAGCGGTTTCCTATCATTTTAATATCTATCTTGACATCTGTTAGTTATAATAATTGAACTTAACACGTACAATATAATTGTTTTACGTCGGTTTTCCCATTAAAAGAAATTTATTCGATAATAAATAGCTCTATTTCCACCATTAAAAATATGCTGTCCATCACCATTGTTATTTTGACTTGTTTCGTTGCAAAATATTCTAATCTTGTCCGGAATATTCTGCCAGAATTCTCACGATGAATTCCTACAACACAGGGTCTGATATTAGCCCTAAATAATTCCAAAATACCCGTCACTAAGACAAAGGTTTCGAATGGCTCTGCAAAGTTGAAGTATTAGTCAGGTTTAACTACCTAGATACCTAGATAATTAATTTTAACTTTAAAATGACGGACAGCAGGATTCTAATTTGAAAACAACATTAAAAGGTATTAAGTGAATCTTGTTTAACGAAAACGGGTAGGTATTACATTTTAGTACGCCGTTTATTGAATTATGGAATTAGTTGGTCAGCGTTAGTTCTTAAGCTGTATGATTTTTTGTTTTGGAACTCTTAAAATATCCGCTTGACTGCGCCAACTATAATGTAATGCATAAATCAGTGGCGTACGTAAACAACCTTTTGTCATGTTTTGTAATTTTTTTTTTGTTTCTCTATCATCTCATGATCAACATCACATTTAAGGTGGCTATGACCACTGACCATAAACTTGTGGTCTATTTGCTCCAGCTGAGCACATTGCTGCAAAAGCGTTAAAAACATTGCTGAGACATGTGAATTTCTGTTTTGGCCCCCACATGAATCTGAATATAAAATGATTTTTTTGATTTGTTGTGGCAAACTTCACAGTTGTTTAAAAATACATGTGGCGATTTGGTTGGCTCCCCTTCCACCTTCGGCCTCATGCCACATGAAGCAAGCTACATCCCCTGTTGTCGTTTCATGGAAAGTTAGGTTGAACGTCCACAGTTGGCGTTTATAGAATGCCACCGACGTATTTAAGTAGGGTGTTGGCAGGCACTGTTGGAGGTCAAATGCGTAACATTTAATGGTGTCCTCCTTAGCACGTTGTTTGTCCTCTCGCTTTTTAGTATATATCAAATCTGCTTCATCTTGATGTTTAGTTTAACTCATCTTCTGACTTTGCTACTTTTTCTTTCATAGAAAGTACATCACACTTGTGACAAGTATCTGCTTTTGGCCCTTTGAATGAAATGTTGAGTCTTTTAAACTCACGCTCATTAATTGATTTAGAGGCAGGGTTTGTAACTTGCTCCACATAGAGTGCATACATTTTTGTCAAGTTTAGGTAAGCAGGTAAATATTTTTTTTTTGCTTTTTTTTTTCTGGTATAGTGGGATTCATAGGCGGGGAAGGATTTTATGTGATTATAAATTGCTCGAATGGTGTTGTTTGAAAGTTTATTAGCAGGCGAGTCTTTACCTCTTTTACTGGGTTCCAAAATACCTGTGGTTGATCTTTGGGCAGACGCAATAGCAATTGTCAAGAACATGTTTGTTTTCCCTAAAGTTTTCTGAAAGCGGCAAACCTTAGACAGTTTCCCATTAATTTTAAAATAAAATGTGTTGATTTACTGTCTAAATTTTTCTTTGTCAGGATCATCGGTTCATTTCCAAATGACTTTAGGCTCAGTTGATTGAACTAAATTGGCAACGAATTTCGTTCTTTCATATCGACTTCCGAGACTCCAATATTCTTTAAAAATAACTTCCTGGATCTCAAGGGGGATACGTTCCATGCACTTGGCGCGGCAAACTGTCAAAGCTGTCATTGCCCTTGCCGGTTTTACTTTTCCGTCAAGAGTTTCATAGCCCTTCCCATCATTTCGATTTTTATATTTTTTTATTCTTCTTATTTTGGAAAATTTTCTGTCAGTAGGTGTAGCTTGGATTACATTTTGTTCTAAATGTGGTTCCTTCGATTTATTTCGTATTTTAGAGCTAGAACTCCGTGTTTGATGGAAAACTTCTTCATCAGAGGAAATACTCTCCTGTTCAAGGTTATAATCTGAAAAAAATACACAGTTAGGATACTTGTTACATTTTCTGAGCCTCAATTTTCTATAAAAATAAATGCTTACCTTCGTCAGTTTCTTAAACCAAAACTTTCAGCTATTTCCATGTCTTGTACTAGTTAAGTGTGTTGGTCTTATCATAGACAGTACTCTGTTAATGGTCCAAATCTGTAAAAGACACAGACAATTTAACGTTTTAATTTGGGAAAATTAGACAGTTAGGATACTTGTTGCATTTTCTGAGCCTCTTTTGCCTATAGATATAAATGCTTACCTTCGTCAGTTTCTTGACCAACACTTTCAGCTATTTCCATGTCTTCTACTAGTTGAGTGTGTTGGACTTCATCATAGATAGTACTCTGTTGATGGTCCAAATCTGTAAATTATACAGTTTCACGTTTTAAGCTACATATTATTTTGGTCTCCTGTGGCTAGAAAATTATCAAAAAATCAAATCTCACCAAGGTAAACTTTGTGCTGTCTCGAAATGTTACTTGGACCAGCCTCATCATCATTGCAAAAAATTAATTGATTAATATCCCCAGTCGTTGACAGGTAAAGATTCCCCAAGAAGTCTTTTTCATTTTGGACCATGGATAGTTCTTGAAAAAAAAAAAAACAAAATATTTTGAACTCAGACTAATTTTCATTTCACTTTTGTTTTCGCAATAAAAATAAAAAATACTTTTGAAATGTATTAATCCCTTATTTACTAACTCACCTGCATGATCATCGACTATAACATTCTCAGTAAACCCATGAGTAATACTGACATTATGCTCTACACAATTTAACATCAGCTTCTGTTTGCTTTTTATCTGAAAATAAAATAAAAGTTTGTTTGTGAAATGAGTTATCAAAACTTGATTTTGGAAGTATTTGACAAAATGTTTTAGATAGTAAAAAAACAATCTACTTACTTTCAGTTTCAGTGTTGTTTATGTTATTGCATATATCCACCATCTTGCCTGCTCTTAACCACGAAAAATAATAATACAACAATTCACTGGAAACACTATTACCTACTTAAAATTTAGGTGAGAAAAAAATCAAACTAAATAAGTTCACATGCCTAAGAGTGACAAGACAAGACTGATAATAATAAAAGCTTAGACTGCTAACATTAAAAAAGTCTCAATAGTACAAGTGCTATCTAACCAACAGTGAGAAACATGGGTCCTAACAGTATAACTTGACTTATACTTGACTTATACTTGACTTGTACTGAAAGGTTCAATGCTAAACCGTTAGTAAAAAATACTCAGCATTGACTTGTACTCTTAGGGCATATATTTAGATGATAAACATGAACTATAGTAAAAAAAACCCGAAATCAAGAAAATTTTACTTATACTCTTTGTGTTAGAAAAGCTTTAGACGCTCCATCGGCACAAAATGGTATTACAATAACCAAAATCAATATTATTCGTTAAATTATTTCGTACGTCGAATACACCAATTTTTCCTCTCTAAGTGCACAAAGTAGCAATAATTTTAAATGATTCGTTAAATATCGCGTTAAAATGGCGTTGCACAATCGAATTATTTCGCGAGTACATAATTTTTTATCGCCCATTTTATGATTTCACGTTCAGACACTAAAGAAAAACGAACTAGAAAGTTTATTCGTTCCGAGATGCATAAGTCTCGAGCGAAAAATTACGATCTAGGGATATAAAATTAATAGCAAGTAATAAATATTCCTTTAACCGAACCGCATTCGACGTATAGAACACGATCCTTATTACTGGGAATCCTACTAGTTCTTATTATCATCTCTCGTCGAGATTCGATGTTATATAAGTAGTGAAGATGAATGCATTAATCGAGATCGTCCTTTCTAGAGGACTACAATAATTCAGGACATGACGGCACTTAAATTAATACTCAGTCTAACTAGAATTCAAGCATTAAAGAGATTTACTTTGTACTGTGTTAAATTAATGGTATTTTAACAGAAAATCGATGAATGATATACATATATTTAAAATTTCGAAACGCCACGCCTTGTGTTACTTTTTATCTTACGAAAAATTGCAAATTTTGTTGAAACGATATCCCAGGAATATTTTTGTAGAGTTTTTCTCAAATATGATTTCACAAGAAAGTCTGATAAAAATGGCAATGTCGAACATCGTGATATGTCAGCATAGCGTCATATGTCATGACACCTGTCATTGAATTGTCATTTGTCGCGATCTTTGTCACGTCAACTTACAGTATTGAGTGTAATACTCAATAGGCGTTAAGATATTTTTATAAAAGTTTTTATTTTTGGCAGTATCAT